GCCGAGCCAAGGGTGGGTTGGGATGATTCAGGCTATAATTATAGGGGTGGTGGCTACTCTTCTAGTGGCAGAGGAGGTTATCGAGGTGGTTCTGATGATCCACCTCCACCTATCCATTCTGATTGTTTCGAGTGTGGACGCCTTAGACATTAGGCTCGTGAATGTCAATCTAGTGGAGCAGGCGGAGGAAAATTCTCTCTGATTCTAGAATTGGTAGAGGTGGAAAAGTAGGCTACCCGGAAAATTTGATGATAGCGAAGAACTAGGGAGAGATAGGGATGGTCTTTGGCTATGAGGATCACGAGCTCTTATAGACGTTGAAGAGGAATTAGAGAGCAGCATGTGATGCAACGGAGAATGCATCCACCTTATTTTCACTCAAGAACAACACTGTTACTTATGCTCATTTAGTTAAAGGTAATCTTGAAACACATGTTCTTGTCTGTATATCCACTACGAGAACACCTGAATGGATAATAGATTTTGCTGCATCTCGACATGTGACAGGTAACGCTGGGGAGTTCTCTACCTCTACTCATCTAGCAGTTCCAGAGAGCATTCAGACTGCTGATGGCACAACACAACTAATGGTTTATACGGGTACAGTTAGGGGTATCGATTCTACTACTTTGTTTAATGTTTTACATGCTCCTTCATTTTCAGTTAACATTTTATCCATTAGTTTTATTATTCTTCAACTAAAATGTGTTGTTTCATTTAATATTCTTAAGGTGATCTTTCAATAAAAGGGAATTGGCCAGAGACTTGGGATCGACATGTGACATAACGGAGTATGGTATTTGGATAGAAAAGGGATGGACTCAGCTATGAAATCCATGACAGGGAGTGTTGGTGCAGGAGAATCTGGGAGGAGTGTGAAGAATGTAATGTTGTTACATCACAGACCCATGAGACACTCTTTATTTAGTCTATTGAGTTAATTGTATCATTCTCTGTATGAAAAAACAAATAAATAAAAACTTGTGTGTGATGCTTGTGAGTTTAGTAAGTAAATCAGAAGCTCTTATGTGAGTTCTAGCTAGAAGAGTCCTTGTGTCTTGATTTGGTACATTCAGATGTATGGAGACATTGTTGTATAATGCGACAACAAGTCAACAATCAACATTGCCAACAATCCGCTGCAACACGATAGAACCAAACATGTGGAGATTGATAGATTCTTCATCAAGGAAAAGCCGAATAATGGACTACTGAAGCTACGTCATGTAGCCACTAGAGAACAAGTGGCTAACTGTCTCACAAAAGGACTTAGCTCATTAGATTTGTATAAGTTATGTGACAAGATGAACTCAGCGGATATCTTTCGCCCATCTTGAGGATGGGTGTTGAGATTTGTATCTAGTTTAAACTCCTAATTGTATATATGAAATATAGAAGAAGTCTAGGGATTTATTTGTAAATTGTTGTAAGGCCTTGTATAAGCCTAAGTGATTAATGAATAGAACATGTTTTTCTGGCATTTATTTCTATTGAAAGGCTTGGTTTGCTTCCTAGTTATCTATGATCTAACTGTGATTAGCCCTACTTCACTCTGAGTGAGCTAGGGACCCTCTTGAGTTCGATTTGAACCAAAAAGGACTGATTGTATGGTTTAGTCTCAGGTTTGATTAAGTGTTTGGCTAGTGTTTATCTAGCCACTAAAAAAATCTAAGAAGAGCCCAATTAAAGGGCACCCACGCTAAGATCAAATCCTAGGCTGATAGAAATAAGTCGACCTCGTAAAAAATGAGGTCAATATCACAGACCTCCTCATTTAGTTAATCCCTTGGTACCACCTCCAATCGATCAATTCTCCCATCATCTCTTTCAATTGTTCTCCTATCAAAATCCTAAAATATATTTCCTCAAATCTAAATATTTATACAAAATGATTTTGTTTCTCTGCAAACCATGTGCTTCATAGCGACGCCATGCCATGCATCGCTTAAAAACACTCTGTAGATGCATTAAACAACATTAATTGCACAATATTCACACTTTTTACTCAGCATACTATTCTATCGTAGCCGACTCAAAACTTAATCAATTTGCAACTGGCAATCCAAAGATTAACTATTAAGATAAACATTGAATATGAATGACATTTGTAATGCTTTTGAGATTAGTTTGCCTTTTTAAAATTTTAATCTCATTCCCACATCAATTATGTACTTAAATATTAATCTTTGAGTGTTAGATATGTAAATTCATAAGAATTGTGTAGTCTGTATGTAAATTTCCCTAAAATGAATGATAGAACATACCTCACTGGGAACAGCATGTGTTGTTGATGCCACAAAAGCGGCATCTAATCCAGAATTAGTAAGCATGTCATCATCAGGTATTGACGTGGAAATTACACGCATTGAAACTGATGAATCTGTATAATCAACTGCAGAAAACCCAAAAATGTCCAACTCTAAACCACTTGATTCAACAGTGGAAGCAGCTGGACAAGATAGAAATCAGCTTTTACAACTTGAAATGCACACAGATTTCTAAATAGATTAAGGAAATCGTGCTAATTTAGATCAATAAGAAAACATGGCCTAGACAAAAAAAAAAAAAAAAGTTATCAGACAATTGAGTGGTATGGATGACATAATCCGACAACAGAATTTCGCCGAGGAAAGTGTCCCTCATTATTTAAATGAGATCATTTTATAAAAATATTAAATTACTCCCAGACTATTTTAACGAGGGCTAAATAAGTTCGCAGATGAACTATTTTAACACATATTAAAAGAGTCCGGCAATTAAATTGATACTTTTATAAACGTTGAGATTGAAATGAGCCCCCGCCCCACAAAGAATCGGGGACCATTTTAATACTGGTTCTGAAATTTGGCCCAAAGAGACAACTGTTAATACCTGATACAGACCCTCGAGGATCAAACTCATCTAAAGAAGCAACTTCCTTTTCATGAGCTTGAGCAGATTCACTAGCAACACTTTCTGGAGCTTGGTTTGTACCGCTTGA